ACTTTCCTTCTGCGGGTCGAAGCAGTGTTGTCTGCCTGAACAATGTGTCTGGTATGAATAGCTTTATTCCAATTTCAAAACTATTCTTATGGTAAAGTCCATGCACCTGTCATCCTACTCTATAACATAGTGCTTCGCAACAACTTCCTATTGACATTCATGAATAAATACTGGTCTTCATATAAAAATGAATGCAGACAAATACATGGCGTTATCAGCAGTTCATGTATTTCTGTAGCTGCCTATCTTGTCACTGTAAACTATTTACGAAACAAGTTAAAACGAACGTGATAAAAAACACTTGACAATTCAAACTCTGTCATTTCATAGGTAGTAGCTTTAGCAAATCAGAGGGTAAAAACAGTAACAGAGAAGCACGGTTTCTTCATTTCACTGACCAAAGTTGCGATTTTTGTAAATCCGTAATACTAAGAGGAATTTGACTTTGAGACAGTGCTGAAAATGAAATCCAGATGTATAGTTTCAATCCCATTTTGGCCGGTGCTCCTACTGTGTTATTTATAGACAAATGTCAGAACCCGAGTTCCTCTCATCTTATCATGTGACAACAGTGATGCATAGAGCTTACTGTGGTGCAGAATGGGACCAGATAATGAGATTATACTAAATGGATTTTCCCCACATGTCAGCAGGATATATACATGTGTGCCTATACCTGGACTGTCTGTCTGGGAACCCTGCTGTTAGGCACTTGGGTCATTGCAATTAAAGGCATCCTATGTAATTTCAGGGCAGAAAACAAAAGAAATATATATACAGTTGTGTGTATTCTGGATGAGAAAATATTTCTGGATATTGACATTTATTGCCGTTTCGTCATCATTTCATACTTGAAGCATTTGAAATAGCCCCAACATAAGCTACCTGAGGCATCTCTTTTTGGGTACCGCCCATAAATATCTAGAACCAACCATACCTGTACCTGGTAGAAATACAGTTAGTTTTATCTTAAAGTTTATATGGATCATTCCTTTTAGCAAGAAGCTACATAAAGAAGTTGCTTATTTCTCCTTTAGTGCATCCAGTCTGTACGTAGCTCCTTGAAGTTCCAAAGCTACTCTGTGTCTGTTAACATCCTTCTCCAAGAAAATTTGTGGCCTGTTAAGGACTTTGACCTTGGACGTGGAAGTTGAAGCTTCTGGCTGTTCGTCCCAGTCTGATGACAGTGAGTTTACCAAGCCTGTTAGTTCTGGGATGCCCCCATATGTCAGTGTCAGCTAAGGTTATCTAGTAAATGTCCCAGGTAGCCTGTGTTCCTGACATTGTAACCTCTGGCTACCCACCATAGATAACTTTCTGTCTTACATTAGGATCCTATACAAAGTGACTGAATGAGTACATTCTTCAGGTGCGAGGCTGATGTATTAGTTGTGGGGTGTGTTGAGGTCAAAAGCAGGAACAGAGTTTACTGCAGGTATGGCATTCCTGGTTGGAATTGTTCCACATTCCTGAGGATTCAGTTCCCTTTAAAGCTGCACAAATACAGGATTGACAGGCAAGGGAGCAAAACATTCTGGTGCTGACAACAAAAGGGAAAAACTTCGCCATGTGAAGACTATAATGGCCTGCATCAGACATGTCATTTATCAATTGTTCAAGTGTTTCTTTCAGGTTTACAATTGGTAGCGTGCACAAAGTTTGAATATGCAAAGTAGCATATAATCTTGCTCAGTTAATGCAGATATAGCCATGGGCTTATGATCAGTTTTAGTGTAGTATTATGACTAAAACTAAAACTAAAACTTCTCAAAGTAGCCCCATATCACAACACTCCATCCATCATAATATGTCAAGGCCGTTTAACTGGGCGTTAGTTCTTCCTATATAAACTGTAAAACAATCTGTTCTTCCATTATAACTCACTGATCCATTGTGACTAGTTAAAAAGTGGAGCTCCTATTTTAGCGACCCGACTCGACGCCCAACACAAAGGTTGTACGGCGTGCCCCGTATTTGGTGAAACCGTTTTTTTTCCATCGCCCGTGAACCGTGGTTAACCCCTGTGCCGCGAACGTACGCGCAGCATTCTCCAACAGTCGTTCCCCGCATTGTAAGTCAAGGTCTGGAACAAAGCATGCCAGCATCAATACCATCAACATTGGGAAATCCAACCTACTCTTTTATGTCCTTTCATTACACTAAAGCAACAATACCAACAACTGCATTAGGGCTCAAAATACCACCTGCATGTGCAGGTTAGTGCAGGTAAAATTGGAGCTGTACAGGACAGAAGTATTTCTGATGTCTACCTGTACCTAATCTGTACTGCTCCATGACAAAGAAAAACCAGTGATGGTTAAAAAAAAATTGCACTCTTAAAAGTAGCATCATTGAAGACTTTGAAACTTTGTAAAATTAACAGTGATGCTACAAGGAACAGTTAAAAAAAACATTTCAATTTGTGATGAACTTGAAGGTAACTAAACTGTAGTGCAGGCAAAACTTGTCTGGTACAGATAATTTCAAAAGCTACCTGCACCTGTGAAGGTATGCAGAAAAAGAGAAAAAGGATTTCGAGCCCTGTACATTGTAGTTTTGCCAATTGTTCTTTTGCTGTTGAAGATAATAATGTTTGCCTATAACATACACATGTAGTTTCAGGGCTCGAAATTAACATTGTCCCAGTGTCAAATGACACTAAATTTTCAGCTTGGGACAATTCAAATTACGTTTCAGGACAATTTTGGAGCAATTGGAAAATTCTAAGACCATCCACGTCATTTGGGAACGCGATCCATCCATCCTGCTGCAGACTGCTGGCAGCCTATAAATATACATGTATAATACTCTGACAAACATTTAAATTTGACCAATCAGGGATTCCAAATATCAGGGACGGTGCCATGCCCATGATATTATCATGTATTTCCCTACATTTAGTAATAAAGTGGACTTCAAGTTGTACAAATTCAGTTGTTGTTTTCTTATTTTTGTCATCAACTTATTTCCTGAAAAGCAGGCTGGGACAATTGAAATCTATGTTCGGGACAATTCTGGGACAATAGTGAAAAAAGTTAATTTCGAGGCCTGAGTTTGTCTGCCAATTTCACACAGGCACAACTCCCATCCTTAACACATGCCAGCTTGTACGCACCGTTTCTAAACATTACCTTATAAGGTATTCCCTGGGGTGTGGACAGTCAGAGGTGTGCAGATCTCACCTGGTACATACTTAAGTAGGGATCAGATGTCTCAGGGGCGGGGAGGAGGGAAGATCTGGCTACTTAAACCCTTAAACATGACACCCAAAACACTTCTCAACATAATGGAAAGTTTATTGCAAATACTTGCCCGAGGGCTAATTGCAGTAACAAACAACATAGAAAGAAAATACATTTTGTACAGTGGTATGTGAGACTATATCTACTTCTAACATTATACTATATTCTACAACATGACATGACACTAGTTTTACTGGGTTTGACTTCTTCTTTTTAGGCAATGGAAGACGAATTTACCCACTTCTTCTATAATATGTGGGTTCTTTGATTTTAGTAGTAAAATTGTTTTTTG